AAAACATTTTACTTACAGAACTGACCTTGAACTTAGTTCAACTAATAGTTTAAAATTTAAAAGTACCAATACAAAATCATTTCATTGATTTTTTTCAGTTGTTTGATTATTCTTTGATTCTTCCTCTTCAATGCATCTTTGTGGTTTGATGCTTTATGGTTTATTGTGGTTTGATGGTTTATTATATTGATGACTAGTGGTTCTCCTCTAGTTCTCCACATGTATCTACTCTTCTCGTGGGATTCATGCTTTCACATGCTGTCAGAGTGGTAGTTTCTAGCATCTTTCTTCCACTTCTGAGTGTTGGATTCACTTAATATTTTGTAAGTTTTATCTGGTCACTATTGAGTCCTCTAGGTTTGACTTTTTGGAACATCTTTATTTCTTCTTTCATGCTAAAGGATAGCCTCTCCTTATGTATGATATTGGCAGTTATTTTCTTCTAGGACTCTCCCCTCAACCCTGACTAGGATTTCTGCTGAGACATATGCTGCTAGTCAGAGAGGTTGCCCTTAAAGGTGACTTTACATTTTTCCTTTTCAGATTTTTAAATTCTTTCTTTGTTTTGGACGTTTGAAAGTTTGACCATAACATGTTGTGGTGAGGATCTTCCCTGGTCCTATTTAGGGTTCTACAAGCCTCTTATACCTGGATTACATCTTTCCTAAGATTAGAGATGTTTTCTGCTTTTTCATCTTTGAATAGACTTTCTGTGCCCATCACCTTTACTTATTTCAGTAAATCCACTCACATTGTTTTCCATCCATCACCACTATCTGTCTCTAAAGCCTTTCTTCATCCAAAACAGAAATGTATGCCTACTAAACTGTAACTTCCCATCCGGGTCTTCATTCTCTAGTAACCACTATTCTAGTTACTGTCTTTATGAACTTGACTACTCTAGGTGTTTCATATAAGTGGAATATGTTTATATATAACACTTATCCTTTTTCTGGTTTATTTCACTTACCATAAGTTTTCAAGGTGCATCCTTGCTACAGCAAGTATCAGAACTACATTCCTTTTTATGGCTAAGATACTCATTGTATGCTGATGTAATTTATAACTGAAATGCCCCCCAAAGGCCTGTTTATCAAGGGATTAGTTTCTAGTCCATAGCACTATGATGAATTGGTGAAGAGTTAAAAGAGTCAGAGCCTCCCTGAAAGAAGTTAGGTCAAGGAGGACATGCCCTTGAAGGGAAATTGGGCTGTCTCTCCCTCCTTCCTGGTCTCCACAAAATGAGTAGATCCATGAAGTGAGTACATTTCTTCATTACATATGTATGGCCTCCATGATGTATTATTCAGCAAAACCCCAAAAGCAATGGGCCATCCAACCCTGGGATAAAACCTTCAAAACTTTGATTCAATATAAGCCTAATCCTTTTTAATTTGTTTGTCTCAGGTATTTGTTATAGTAACAGGATGGTAACACATGTGTATATGTCATATTGTTTACTCATTTATCTATTAGTGGACACTTGAGTTGTTTCTACCTTTCAGCTATTATGACTATTACCACTATGAATATGACTACACAAAAAAGAAATCCTTAATAGCATTTTACTACTGTCTCCAAAAGAGTTAGTGTTGCATGGGTATTCTTTATAGCACAAATTCTTATTCTCACATTTATGTCTCCAATATAATATAAAGATGCACATTATTCTTGCATAGCACTGCTTGAGCACTTAATGGTTAATAATTTTTATATTCTTAAAAATGCTGAAGTCTCCACAATTTCCTAAAAAGTCATACAGTTGTACCCACCCAAATGTCTTTTACATAGAGTACAGCAAACTTTAGTCATTGAATGGCTGCAATGAAAATGAAGACTTAAAACCGTAGAGCAATTTTTCCACATTGGTTCAGAGTATACTGGCACTGAATCCATTTTGTTCATCTGCTTTGACGTAACAGCTGTTCATTAAGATAGTGTGTACCACTGAACAGGCTAACTTCAGTGAGAATCAGAGTAGTGTCTCATTCAACTTTAGAACTATAATTATAGCATAAACCTTAATCTTCACAGAATAATAAGTAATATCACAAGCCAAGTGCATAGTGCCTGGGACACATGTAGCCCATGCTTAAGGCTGCTCCAGCTCTTATACCCATAAAGTAACATTAGTCAACAGCTGAACTCCAAAAAAGTTGTGAATAAAATAGATATTTTAAAATCTAGCTTTCAAATATATTAATGCATTTTAATATTTTTTTAAAACCTACCTTTATAAACAAAGATTTATCATATCATCTGGTAATTCCATTCTAAATTTATTTAAATTTTTTTCTAATCTTGCAGAAAATTTATCTCTAAATCAATAATCCATAAAGCCAGGACAAAGCATTATTTATGATTCATAAAAATAATTGTGTTCTTGGGGCACCAATTATAGAACTATTGAAATTACCAGCTGGACAAAACTATGAAGATAAAGCAATCCATGGATAGATGAAGCCTTGTACAGCATATTGTTAGATTTTGCTTCCTAATCCACTCTGCCATTCTATATCCTTTAATTGGTGAATTGAGTCCATTTACATTGATGTTTATAATTAAGATGTACTGACATGTTTCACATGTTATTTTCCTGCTGTTGTATACCTCTTTTTCTCCTGTGTTTAATTGTTTGCCCTATTTGGTGGATTCTTTCATGGGAGTTTGGGTATTTTGATCCCTCTCTAGAATGTCTTTTAGTAGTCTGTGTATCCTTTAGTAGTCAATGAGACAGTTTCAAAACTGATTAATAGAACAGTTTCAATAATTAATACATTGTACATTGTTATCTTCTTAGTGGTTATCTCTGCTATTACTTCTGCCAATATTCTTTTTATAGCATTAATATATTTGAAAGCTAGATTTTAAAATATCTATTTTATTTACAACTTTTTGGGAGTTCAGCTGCTGACTAATGTTAGTTTTGTCATCATGAAATTCTTTAGTTGTTCTTTGTCATGGAAGTATTTCACTTCTCCATTAAACTTGAAAGAGATTTTGCAGCGTATATCAGTCTGGGTTGGAATTTGTTTTCTTGCAAGACTTGTAGTATTTTGCTCCATGCTCTTCTTGACTTGATGGTTTGTGAAGAGAAATCTGCCATTATTCTGATGGGTTTTCCTTTAAATGCGATCTGTTTCTTTTCTCTAGTGGCTTTTAGTATACTTCCTATGCTGAATTTCTGGGATCTTTTTTTATTATATGTCTGGGTGTGGTTTTAATTGGGTTGATGTTATTTGGAGTTCTATATGCTTCAATTACCTGAATGATGGATTGTTTCCCCATACTTGGGAAGTTTTCTGCTATTACTTCTTTTTTAAAAAAATTTATTTTATTGAGAAACAAATATCAATGAGATAGTTTCAAAACTGAATAATAGAACAGTTTCAATAATTAATACATTGTACATTGTTATCTTCTTAGTGGTTATCTCTGCTATCACTTCTGCCCATATTCTTTTTATAGCATTTGTAGTGTCTCCTTCTTCCTCATTGATGCGTATTAGTCTTACGTTGGTCATCTTTGTATCTTCTTGCAGATGTTGAATAACTTTTTCCTGCATTCTACTTGTTTTTAAGAGATCTTTTCTTACCTTCTCACTAGCTGCAATGGTGTCTTCAAGGTCTGAAAGTCTATTTTCACTTTCATTCAAATAGTTTTTCCAGCTTGTGATTGAGGTTTTAATTTCTTGTATAGCTCTTTGAATCTGCTTCTTGCATTCTATTTCTTTCCTATATTGCTCATACAAGGATTCTATCATTTTTCTGTTTGCTGTTTATTTTATCAGTGTCTTCTTTAGAAGCACTTAGTACTTCTTTCATTATAGTTATCATTTCTTTTTTTACTTCAGAAATTATTTCTGATCTGATTTTCTCTATACCTTTCTGAGTTGTTTCTTTACTTCAGAGATTTCAGGTGTGTTATTTCCAATTTCTTCTATGCTATTGTCTCCTGCATTTGTTCTGGGTTGGCTTGGGGCCTGAGAATGCATTTTGCTCCTTCTCTTTGTCATTTTGTATAACATGTCTTCTGACCTTTGGTGTAGAGCTTTGATAGAGTTATTACCTTAGCACCAGGTCCAGATCTACCAAGTTGAAATTCATCCAGGTAGGTGTGGCTTGGGTCCAGCTGCTGTGCTCCACTTCTTTCTGCTTGGAAGTGAACCAGCTGGGCCACTCTGGCAAGATGTTGTGCTCCTGGATCAGCTGGGTGGGTCTTGCCTCTAGCCTCTCTGCGAGGAGTTCTGCTGAAGGGTTCTACATCAGGCCTGTCTCGTGGAGGAAATTCCACACACACGCTAGACCTGGGTGCTGGCTGGAATGAGGATTCGACAGGCCCTGGGTGGTCCCACACACTCATGCTGGGCCTGGACACTGGCTGGAATGTCCTAAGTTTATATACAGAAGAATTAAAAGGAAAGATTTGAACAAATATTTGCAAACTAATGTTTATAACAGCATTATTCACAGTAGCCAAAAGGTAAGAATACAACTCAGGTGTCTAAATTAAACAAATGTGGGATAGACCTATAATAGCATATATTTAGCCTTCAAAAAGAATTAAATTTTGATATATACTACAATGTAGATGAACTTTGAAAAGGTAATCTTAGTAAAATAAAGACATGGAGAGATGAATACTTTATGAGAGACCTAGAATAGGCAAATTCATAAATAGAGATTAGAAAAAAAAAGAGATTAGAATGAATTTGACAGTAACATAGAGGAGGGGGAGGAAGTTATTGTTAATCATTTACAGAGTTTTTTGCTAGAGATGATAGAAAAATTTTGGGTATAGATATGATGGTTATACAACATTGTTAATGCTTTCAATGTCCCTGAATTGTATATTTAGAATGGCTAAAATGATAAATATTATGTACATGTTAAATAATTAAAAATAACCTTTTTTGATATAAAATAGCCTTTTCATAATGGCATTTGATAAAAGAGACCATGTACCTGTGTCTGAGTGGGGTTGGCTGCTTTGGTTTGCAGGCTGCCGGCTCTCAGATTGGGATGATGGTCAGTTCCTTCACAAACGTCGTGGTGGCCATGATCATTGCCTTCTTCTTTAGCTGGAAGCTCAGCCTGGTCATAGTGTGCTTCTTCCCCTTCTTGGCTTTATCAGGAGCCCTGCAGACCAAAATGTTGACAGGATTTGCGACTCGAGACAAACAGGCTCTGGAGAAGGCAGGACAGGTAATCCTATGTTGCTAAGTTTCTGCTTGTGGTTAAATGACTGTGTCTGGCAAACTGAAAAATGGGAACTACAGAGAGACTTTAGGAATCCGGAGCCTACAGGCATGCATAATTCATAACCTCCCACCAATCTTTTGCAATGTGCCTCTGCCCAGAATCTGTGACCACAGAGCTAAAGTACATGGATTTCAGCAGAAGAGGAGAAATAGTGGGGTAAATGTAGATGCTTACAAGTTCAATTTGCTCTAAAACAGTTCCTTGTCCCACATCCCAGTTTGTTGTGTTCTCACTTGCAGGGGTGGGTAGTTCAGTTTTTTATTGGATTTTTCTTGGGATCTTGATTTCCTTGAATCCTGCTGTCTACAGAAGGAACTAATATCTTTTTAATGGTGCCCACTTTTTATTGTCACACTTCAGTGTCTGCTAGGCTCATGGTAAATGCCTTCTTCAAATGGAATATGAGCAGCAGTTTAGGATTCACATATGCTTAGGTGTTAACTATGCCTATGACGCTAACTGTATCAAAAGTCTATTCTAGTTAGTGTCTGCTCCTCAAGGAGTAAATGAGAGAATGGTACCATGAACATTTGTCAAGTTAAAAAAAATCACACCCTCACGTGTACACACACTCACTCCTAACAAATCCAGTATACGTGAAGTGTTGTATATTTTCATGGAGCAGTGGAACAGATGTGACATTGCCCAATTAGACAAAGCTGAAGGATTTTGTATGCCAGTAGAAGAAAATAGCCCACCCTGCTCCTTTTTAAAAGGTAGGACCCTAATTCAGAAAGATTGATTATTCACCCTAGAGCGCAATTGAAATACATTTATAATGTAAACTAAAAGAATAACATTAACTTTAAGTTAAATAATTTTTGGTCAGGTTAATTTTTCAGGAAAGTAGAACAGAGTACTTTAAATTTATATTATTAAATGGACTTTTGTCTCAGAAGACATTTAAAGATGCTCACTGCAGACATTTCAAGTGAAATTAGCAAAGGAATGCAAAGGCTTTTGAAGGTGTTAGCGCATGGGTGCTTTCTTCACCCTTCTCTCTTTCCCTCACACACAGAGGCAAAAACGCCATGCTAAAACTAATAGACTCTGAATTTAGCTGACAGATCATCTCATGGCATGGATGGGTTGACCTCTTGCAACTTCTCTATTTTGTCAGATGCCACAGTTTCACCAATCTGTACCAAATTCTGCAATTTGTGCAAAGATCTAATCCATTTAAAAGTTGCAATATCACACAGAGGTTATTTCTGCCCTTTGATTCCTACTCCTTTAATTTTTCAGATTACCAGTGAAGCCCTCAGTAACATCCGTACCGTTTCTGGGATTGGGATTCAGAAGCACTTCATTGAAGGACTTGAGGCTGAACTGGAGAAGTCGCTCAAGACTGCCATTCAAAAAGCAAATGTCTACGGACTCTGCTTTGCCTTTTCCCAAGGCATATCATTTATTGCAAATTCAGTTTCCTACAGATATGGAGGTTACTTAATCCCCAATGAAGGGCTTCACTACAGCTATGTGTTCAGGTGAGAAATAGTCCACCAAGGTCATAAAAGAGCAATATCCTAAGAAGGAGTGGCCTGGATCTATCTCTTAGGTTTCTTGCTACTTAACAAATTCCCAGACTCAGTGTCCTAAAACAGCTAGGATTTGTTAGTTCTCACGAGTATGGATGGGCAACGCATAGTTCTCTTCCCTTTTGCGGCCATCGCTGGAGTTGCAACAGCCAAAATGAAGTTTAATCCTTTTGTGACTTCAGACCCAAGCAAAAACCATAAAAGGCATTTCAATGCGCCTTCCCACATTCGCAGGAAAATTATGTCTTCTCCTCTTTCCAAAGAGCTGAGACAAAAATATAATGTTCGCTCTATGCCCATCTGAAAGGATGATGAAGTTCAGGTTGTGCGAGGACACTATAAAGGTCAACAGATTGGCAAAGTAGTCCAGGTTTACAGGAAGAAGTATGTCATCTACATTGAATGGGTGCAGTGGGAAAAGGCAAATGGCACAACTGTCCACGTGGCATTCACCCCAGTAAGGTGGTTATCACCAGGCTAAAACTGGACAAAGACCGCAAAAAGATGCTGGAACAGAAAGCCAAGTCTCGCCAAGTAGGAAAGGAAAAGGGCAAATACAAGGAAGAAACGATTGAGAAGATGCAGGAATAAAGTCCTCCTGTGTATAACTTTTAATTAAAAATGCTAAAACAAAACAAAACAAAACAAAACAAAACAAAGGCTATGGATGACCAGGTAGTTCTCTGGCCTGGGCTGAGTTTGTGAGGCTTCTGCACACACCTGTCCCAACATGATCTCTCCAGTAATGAGCTTGTTTTGAGACCATTCATGCAGAATGGTTCTAAATGCAAGAAAAGAGAACAAATACCTGTGTGTAAGAACTTCAGTCTCTCCATGTGTCACATTTTCTGATGTTTCTTTGGCCAAATAAAGTCATATAACTAAGCTCAGATTTAAAGAATAGGGAAATTGAGTCCACCATAGTGAGAGGAATAAACAATCATATTGCAAAAGAATGCATGGTAGATGAATTAATGTGATCATTTTTTTGATCTACCACACTTGCTAATGCTGAGAACCCCCAGAAGCCTTGAATAAGATGGTTCATAGGGCGATTATATTTGACTTCTGCTAGTCTAATGAAAAGAGAGCGGGTTTCTAGCTGACTTCCCATAGAAAGAGACAACGTAGACCACATAGGACCACTTAAATTCCTTTCTTAATAATGCCAGAGTCTGCTTTCTTAATAGAGCCTGAGCCTGCTTTCTCATAAGATAGCTTTGAGCCCAGCTTCTCACATTTCTAGAGGTTGGAGCCTATAGAGTGGGTGCATGTGTCTGTTCGTGGCAGTGGGGGGAAGGCTTCCAGAAAAGTGGTTCCAATAAGAATTTGCTCTCTTAGGTTTCATTCATCAGTCATAAGTTCTTTTTCAACTGTTATCTTTCTTTCAGCACTTTTCTACTCCTCTGTTATAACCCAACTCAACCAGGAAAGTCTCTTCTCTAAATATTTGATATTCAACTCTACTAACCCATATCAGGAAACACTAACAGGCCAGCCAAATAGCTCAGCCAATTAAAGCGCCTGTAAGCAGGCACAGAGGTGTGGAGGTTTGATCCCCAGGCCTGCTGTACTGGCCCCACCCCCAGAGCACGCTGAGATGGGAACTGAGACTGGGCGTGGTAGGGCATGCCTGTAATCCCAGCTCTTGGGAGGCTGAAAACAGGTGGATCACTAGGAGTCTGATTTAGTAGTGAGACCCTTGACACCCTGTAGACCCCTCCCTAAAATATATTAAAAAAAAGAGAAAATAACAACAGTTGACTTGCTTTTGTCAGTTGATACACAACTTTCCATCAGTTATTTGACAACGTATAAACACTGAGAGACTACAACTTGAGAGTGCTCAAATTTTACCAAGAAACTCAACAAAAATTGAGAAACTCCCAATTTCTGAATAAGCTTTAAAAACTGGAAAGTCATTGTCTATCATTTTTTCATTTCACTTTGAACACTTACACCCCTTAAGCTGGGGAGTGGACTTCCGGTGGTATTTGGATCTGCAATTCCACTTATAACTGAGCACTAAGACAGGCAAACATGCATATGCTGTCCTCACCTGCACCCTGGCCAGGCTCTCTGTGAATAGGGGCCCAGGAGGACAGTTTAGAGGACTTCCTCTTGTATCTTTGTCTATGCAGTAGTGAAGCTGTCTCTCACCATATTTGTCATCCATTCATTTGTTCATTCAGGGGCCAGTGAGATGGCTCAGTGGAATAAGCGCTTCCCTGGCAAGCCCAAGGGCCTGAGTTCAATCCCTGGTTCCACCAAAAAAAAAAAAAAAAAAAAAAAGGATTTCATTTGTTCATTCATTAAACCTATCTCAAATATCAGATCTGAGCCAAGAAGAAGGGTACATGCGGTTGTGTTTCTAATTTGTCTGAAGCATAAATTGCATAGAAAAGCATAAATTGCATTGCTCATTATTATCTAATGTTAGCATTTTAAGAGAATCAACCCAATCCTGGGCCTTCTTTACACTCTCCTCCTTTCCTAAAAAGTAAATTTCGCCCCCAAACAAAGAAAAGATTAATAAGAAGCTGTTGTGGTATCAGAATTTGGAGGTCTGAGCCCTACCATGTTCACTTCATCCCTCTCCCATTTTTATATAGAACACTTTTTGAAAATCTTCAGTCTCTAACTCCCACCAACCCAGGCAGATCTAAAATATTTTGCTCAAGGCTCTTCATTCCTTTCCTAGTAGAACTACGTGTAGACCCCAGACTCTTGGCGTCACCATCACATCAACCCTTCCCCAACACTCTGTAACCTGGCTCTCTGTCTGATTGTAGGGTGATCTCTGCAGTTGTACTGAGTGCCACAGCTGTTGGGAGAACCTTCTCTTACACCCCAAGTTATGCCAAAGCTAAAGTATCAGCTGCACGCTTTTTTCAACTGCTGGATCGAAGACCGCCAATCAGTGTATATAGTAATGAGGGTGAAAAATGGGTAAGTGTTGAAGGAGGAAAATTATGCATGTATGTGGTATGTGTTTGGGTTTGGTCAGACAATGCCACTTAGCTTCCAAATATCTGCTTTCATTTATATGTTCTCAGAGTAGAGAGACAATAGGTTTATGAATGCAAATGAGTGAAGTAATCCACATTAAAATCATCCATAAAGTTGGCATTTGAACAAAGCAACAATATGTAATTTTATTAGTTCATTTTCTATTACTATAACAAAATACCTGTGGCTGCACAGTGTATAAGGTTCAGAATCTAAGATCAGGTGGCCCTGAGTCAGCCTCTGTTGATGGCTCTTTATCGACATCACCTCATGATGAGTGGCATCATGCCAGAAGCCCGTGGCTGAGGGACACTAGAGTGGGGAGGGGTGAGTCTCAATTTTTTATAAGAAGCTTCTCTCAGAAGCAAACCAGAGTCTAATAAGAACTACATTAATTCCTCTGGAGGGCAGTGCTCCCAGTGACCCAGTCACCTGGCACTGTACCTCCCTTCTTAAATGTGCCACACCACATCTCAACATCGTGACCCTAGGGACCAAGCTTCCAACATGCAGACCCTGTGGGGCAAACCACATCTGGGCCATTGCACCCATGCAGGCTAAAGTCTGTGTCGTCTAAGCACATTTGCTTCCAAACGTTTTCTGAGATCTACACAATTAACGATATTTTGGTATGGAATGTAGAAAAACAAGTTCCTCCTGTCCAGTAATATTGATTGAACTCATTTATCTGGACACAGATTTCAGCTCATCTGAATGCTCAGAAAATTCAATATCAACAAGAAATATTTTTTTCTTGTAATTGATTATTGTTTTTAATCTTTCCTATTTTTTTTAAAATCTCCATATGTTCAGGAAAGCAAAACAAACCAGAACATTAGCAAAGGTAAACTGAATTCCAGAATGTTTTCAAATTGGTCAAATGACCTGTTTTTCCTTCCACTCAATAAAAGTCTAGTCCCCGTGTGGCCTATTAAATGTCTATTCATATCTAGAGTTCATAATTCATATTTTAAGCACCACAGAGTATTCACCTTTGCTCTACAGACCTGAAGTAACTTTCTCTCAGAGTCATTTCAAGTATGATACTATTATATTAAGTCGTTGTGAGAACAGAGTTGAAAAGGGTCAGATAGTGACTGGTTTCTGTGATGTATTATCTTTTAGTTCTTCTCTTCTACTCAGAATGTAAAGGAGTGGATGACAAGAAAATCTCCTTAGATTAGAATGGAAATGAAATTTCCATTGAATATCTTTGATTTTACTGCTCAGTTCTTTCTGTATTCTACCCCTGCCAGAATAGGAATTAGGGTGTCATGTCATTGACTTGTTTTGTCTATATTTTGCACTTTGCAACTTGGTGTGTAGATTTAGATGCATTTTCAGTATTCTAGATTCCAGTAGGACCATATGTAACTCCCACCTTCCCACCCACAGGACAATTTCCAGGGGAAGATTGACTTTGTTGACTGTAAGTTTACATATCCTTCTCGACCTGATGTTCAAGTTCTGAATGGTCTCTCAGTGTCAGTTCATCCAGGACAGACCATGGCGTTTGTTGGAAGCAGTGGGTGTGGCAAAAGCACCAGCATTCAGCTGCTGGAACGTTTCTATGATCCCAATGAAGGGAAGGTGGTAAGAGATGCATACGCTCTTGAGAACTTTGCTTTCTATCTAAAATTTCTGTAAAAGTCATCTCTAAGATTGTGCTTGTCAGTCTTCCTCTAACGTGCTTGCCTTGGACACTTAGCCCTTTTCCAGCCATTTGCTGGTTGACCTGATTCTACCTCCCAATTTCTGTCATATTCTCCCTAGCTCCAGATGGCCTGCTGACCAGTAAGGCAAAGAAAATTGGGCACTGGGCAAAGCTAGAGATGAGTGTGTTTGGCAGGAGCTCTCACTTACTGGTAAATGGAGCAGAAAGTGCAGATTAATCAGGAGACTAATGGCCAGGAATGGAAAAAGTGGGGGTGATGAGGGACACAGTGACAAATGAGGAAGAAAGGGGATTGATTGTGAAAAACCAGAGAAACATTCTGGCTTACAAAGCTTAAGCCTGAATGATACAAGGAGCTCAAATGGACAAAGCTTTGGCAAGAATACCTGAAAAACTGGTGAACTGTTTTGTTGCTCATTTCTTTATAGCATTTCTTTCCCTTTTTCCCAACTAATATATTAAAAGATGGCAAAATCACGTAATAAAAAAGAATCTTAATAGAAGTAACATTGTTTTGTATTTCTTTGCTGAAAGACAACTATTTTAGCCATTGGATGCTTTAAAATCTCTAACTGACTACTTCTATGTCTCTTAAATATTCATGCTGCTGTTTTCATGATTTACTAAATTCAGCCTCTTGGTTGACTTTTTTATTAATCTGTTTGATTGGTTTTCTGAGACAAGGTCTTACTAGTAGTTCAGGCTGTCTTTGAACTTACTATGTAGCTCAAGCTAACCTTGAACCTCTGTCCTTTTCCTTTTAGGTTTAAATTATTCTTTAATATCATCAAGAGTATCAAATATGCATTGTCCTAACAATATCATTCCTGTTTTCACTGTAGGTTGAATTTAAAATTTCAAAATTAACAGCTTTTATTTTAATTATGTTAAAGTCATTTCATAATCAAATAGTGAGATATTATAGATTATTTCTTTTCCTGATAGTTTTTACAAAAGGCCTTCTTTTTTCTTTCATTCTCCGCCTTCTAATTTTTTAAAATACTTTTCCAGTGTCTCTGTTTTGCTATCTATTCTGAGGGTCTTTCTTCTTTCCCTCATTTTTATCAAAGCCTGGACTAATTTCTGCCTATTGAACTTTTGTCACCCACTGTATTCGCTACAATGTTTTCTTCATCTAAATCCATTGTTTCCTTGTTCCCATATCTTGCCAATGCTTGGTTTTCACTCTAGTTTTGTTGAAGCACGTCCACAAAGTTTTTAAAGAAATGGTTCAGAGGTATGAGTTTAGAATTGCTTTATTTTGCTTCATACTTGATCAATAACTTAATCCTAATATTTTGAAGTGTTCACTCTGATTTTGCTGAAGAGTATAACTGTCATTGCAATTGTGATAGATAAAATTATGAAGAAAATTTCTAAAAGAAACTTGAAAGAGACCACTAACGATTCCCTTGCATAAAGCAAGTAAGTAAGTAAGTGAAGAGATATTGGCAGAACCCAGGAAGTTGTGAGAATAAGTGGAAAAACCTTAATGCTGTAATTTATCATCTCTTTGTTATTAATATTAATGTAAAGATTTTCATTTGTTTGAATTAATGTGTTAGCGGATGAACTTACAAAACATGTTGCACTTGATACCCAACCCCTTAAGGGCAAAGGTTCAGTGTTCCAAAATGCCAGCTCTGTCATGTCCGTCACCGAGGTAAACTGTGAGCTGTGTGAGATCCTGGGACCTGAGCCCAGCATGTGTATCCTCTCCAACAACAGCATGAATACCAAGTGTACTTCTCTGAATGTACACAACAAAGTGACCACAGGCCAGAAGCAAGGCCCATGCAGAAATAATTGTTCACTTGAATTCTACAAGCACAATACATTTTTGTCCCATCATTGTAAAACATGTCTCCAAACACTTTTAAGTAGAAGAACACCACTGTATCAATTCTCTTAAAGTTCTCTTTGTGTGTAGGGAAGCTACCAAATGCAGTACTTTCAACACTTTATCACATATGAGGTTTCCGGTACTCTTTGGGGAGATTCTTTGAGAGCCTGCGGTGTGTCTTCTGCTTTCTAGCAGCTCATAATGTCCACTTACAGCCCTAACAAAAAGCTCAATTTCTAGGTGTTATGTTGTGCTTTGGAGCTGTAAGTACAGTACTATGGAAATCAAGTAGAACAGGATAAGTGGGGTAAATATTATTGATGAATACTTTATTTTTTTCTAATATTATTTGCTCTTTCCATTGCTTAGAAATTATCTAAAATATAATCTATTCATACCATTTAATATAATTTTTTTCTGATATCATAGGGCCAGACACTTTATAATTATAAGACTCCAGGACTCTTTAGTGAACCAGTTCAAGTGGTAGATAGTTGAGGACCATATTTTCCTGCCTTCTAGAATGTGAGTTTCTAGGAAACAGACATTATGTTGTCTTTATATAACAAATACAGTCTGCTTTGCATAGCATATGTGTGGCAGGTGATTCCATATATGTTGTTGATTAAGTGAGCAACAATTTTTTCCTTCCCTGAATAACCTCAGTTATTCAGAAAATGCTATCTGTCAAACCAAAAACACAGATTTGATCCTTATATTATCCAAAGACTTCACATAAAAAATCCTCTTCATAACTCAGAGCTTCACAATTGAACAACTCTGAATAGTTACGGAAATTATGCTGCACCAAGGGATAAGGAGAATTTTTCAAACTAAAAACTATTCTGAGTGTCTTTCTTGTCTCTGTAGAGCTAGAATCTGGGAAAAATAAAACTACAGCCTCATCAGTGTTATAACAACAGTTCTAGAGGCCCAAAGCAAAAGAATTCATTCTTCGGGGCTCTGGGAATGTTATTTCTTAGGCAAAACAAATATCTCGCAGACCACTCAGCTCCAGAATATGAGCTTTCCTCAGCAGTGGAATTCTAAAACCTTGTCCCCTTTCCCATCATCCCTACTGGCAGATGATAGATGGACATGACACCAAGAGAGTGAATGTCCAGTTTCTCCGCTCGAACATTGGGATTGTTTCCCAGGAGCCAGTGCTGTTTGCCTGTAGCATAAAGGACAACATCAAATACGGGGACAACACCAGAGATATTCCCATGGAAAAAGTCATAGCAGCTGCACAGCAGGCTCAGTTGCATGACTTTGTTATGTCGCTTCCAGAGGTGAGTACCAGGCTTGACAGTTGCTGTAGGAGACAGAGATGGAGGAGAGGTAGAGTGGCCCAAAGTATTATGGTCATGGCTTCAAGGAGGAGTTCAAAAGCAACACAATTTATTTCTCCATGGGCTAGTGTTGTCTTAGTCTTTGAACAAATGTCCTTCATTAAAATAGTTTATAGTTTGGGAAAGTATTAGCCAACAAAATGGACGCCATCATATTTGTTACACAGAAAGCAACACCACAGGAAGCTCTAGTTTAGCATTGTGGGAAAAGCCTGAGCTTTGGAACAGACACAAATGGATTGAATCCAAGCTCTGCCACTCACTCCCTGTGTGTGTGTGTGTGTGTGTGTGTGTGTGTGTGTGTGTGTGTGAGAGAGAGAGAGAGAGAGAGAGAGAGAGAGAGAGAGAGATGATTAAAATGAAAGAATGCACTTAACAGTCGCACAGAGAAAGCTGTTGCTGCTTTATTGATATCGCTGTTTCAGTGTCTGGTGGCGTGTGTCTTGTGTGGCATCGTGAGCTACACCTACCTTTGCATCTCTATTTTTCCAGAACCACATCTAAACTTAGCACAGTACTGGCCTTTTTACCACTCACCAAGTGTCTTTTTTGGTGGTTAATTGTAGGGAAAATTAAGACATAAAAACCCAGTCGTAGGAGCCAATTATTACCTTCTCTACTTCATTTTAAAGTATCACCACTTAAGAATTACTTTTCTTTATAAAGGATTATGTTTGAAATTGTTGTGTATCTGTGGTGGGCTTCTTTTCACATGTTTCTTCAAGGCTTACGCTCATGACTAGCTTCTGATTTAGGTAGCCTCATTGGTAAGCACAGAAAAATGACTATTTGCTGCACTTGAAGCTGAAAAGCAAAGGTTGTGTGTGACTTGGAAGATCTAATTGTTGTGTTGATCTTTACTGAACACTGCTCGTGTTGTGTAAGAACTTCCTTAAAGTTGGTTCATTGCCTTTTTCTTCAAGTTGCCCCTAATAACCTTTGCTGAGTACCTCATCCCTACAACGACAAAAGAGGTTGCCATGGCTCTCACCTGGCTTAGTTGAGCGTTTGTCAGGAAGCAAGGGAAGTAAACAAACCCTTACCAAGTAGGATAGGGCAGTGGTCAGGGCGCATTCAGAAGCTCAGAATACCTGGATTTACACGTCACTTCTGCTGCTTATCTATCTTCATACAAATTTCTTGTTTCTCTATGTCTAACTTTCATAATTTGTAAAGTAGGGAGTTTAAAGTTTCTGTGAATATTAAATGACATAGCAGAATCCTTGATCCTTAATAAATATTCTGTGACTTTTAATTATTAATGTAGCCACCTCAAATGTTTAACTAGACATTTTTCTTCCTAACTTTCATCAAAAGCAACAAATACGGGAAGTAGACACTGAGTGATACTTCATTTTTTAGATGAGTTTGCAGCCCAAAAAACATGATATAGGTTCTTTATAATTATAATGTTCATAAACAGCAGAGCTTAGTTTCACACCAAGGCCTGTATTTCAAAATATCATCATTCCAGTAGAGGAGGGAACCAGAGGTCTCTCAAAAGGCATTTCCATTCCCAGGTTTTTTCCCTTTTGGAAAGATTTTTCCAGTTAAGAGTGGAAATTAGGTAGTCTCAAATCAAGGTGGAGCTCCTGCACACATTCTAAATTAACAGTTAAGAGGTTAAAAATATAAGCCTAAAAGAATGCAGATAAGGGTGGTAAAATCTCTTGTTTCTCATATTTCTCTTGTATTTCCAAGTGGGTTTGATATCCCTTACAGAACTCACTGAAATAAATGCACAGAGCAGCACTGGCTGGGTGCTCTGTACAGCACGAGGGCAATGGCTATTTCTACTTCTTAAGCTTTCCAAACTTTTTCCAGAAATATGAAACAAATGTTGGGACCCAGGGGTCTCAGCTCTCTCGAGGGGAAAAACAGCGAATTGCTATTGCGCGAGCCATTGTACGAGACCCTAAAATCTTGCTACTGGATGAAGCCACTTCTGCCCTAGACACAGAAAGCGAAAAGGTAAGTATTGATTTCTTAGATCCTCGTGAATGAACCTTTTGCTATAAGATTTGTCCCTAGAAAAGGCACTATTTCCAATTTTCCAATTCATTAACAGTAGAAATTGGCAATGCTTTGTGGAAGCAAAGATAATAATCTAAAGAAAATTATTTAACATGAGATTGAGTGAAATAAAAAATTTTTAACTTTATTTTTAAAACTTGTTAGGCTATGTGACATTTTTTTCCAAAGGAAAATAATTAACTTTCTTGAATAAAGTAAAAAAATAATTTGAGTCACCTGGAAGGCACAACATGTTCTATTGTTCTCAAGTTAAGTAACAGAACATATAGGCCATGCATGACACAAAGAGAATGGTATCTGATACACATGAGAGGAGATGAAATTGAGAAAAACATAGTTATGAAACCCAGAAGTTGGGACTATCACTTTAGAAATCAGAATTCCGTTTTGGAGAGGGCTAAGTGTCCCCAGTGAAGAAACTATCAGGAATGACCATTTAATTACCCCTACACTGTTTCTTTGATTTCATTTTAATAAACTAGGCCAACTACTATAAAAATAAATAGTGACTTCATACTTTGGCTCATTTTCACTTCAAACTTCTGAAACTGAAGTTTCTCAGTCTGTGAGGTGGAGGTTAAAACACTGATGCATTGAATCAGGAATCCCTTGCTTAATCCTCTCCTGTATTGCCTCTTTGCATTTACCACTACGTATGGAATTATCACTTTGGGTCTATTGAAATAGTCTCACTGTGGAGGGCTGGGGACAATCATGTGTCTGCATTGACTTATTATTCTCTTTTTGCAGACAGTGCAGGTTGCTCTAGACAAAGCCAGAGAAGGTCGGACCTGCATTGTCATTGCCCATCGTTTGTCCACCATCCAGAACTCAGATATCATTGTTGTTATGTCACAAGGAGTAGCCATTGAAAAAGGAAGTCATGAAGAACTGATGGAACAGAGGGGGGCCTACTACAAGTTGGTCACTACTGGAGCCCCCATCAGTTGACTTCTCTCAGGAACTCCATGTATCAACGATGCTCAGAGTACAGGTGTGCTGCGGGTTGTTGCATCCTTAAAGGGCAGTGTTAATGTTCTACATTTATAAGCATGGTCACCTACCAGGATCCACACTAATTTCTAATGACCTTCAATGATTATTAAGTTTGAGATGTCCATATGGAAAATAAAAGAAACCAGAGTCCTGATGAATAAGAATCCAAAGGGGGAGAAGCCTGTGATCATCTCGTTTTGTACCGCAGATCCATCGAGCTCATGATGTAAAGTCCTTGGGCTTTCTGGAAGTGGGAAGAGAGGGACACATGGGACTAAAGATAGAAGAATGGGCTGAAAACATGTGAAGAAGCAGAGGTGCAGAACCCCTGCCACAAGCTGGCTGCTTTTACCCAGTGATGGCAGAACCATAGTGGCTCCCTCTCTGGGGGAGCTCACAAGTAGGCTTACAGGTTAGAACACAAGCTGCAGTTGAAGCTGGCTGATGGAGGAGACGGGGTTGGGTGTAAGGAAATACATGAGTAGAAAAATCTTCCAGCCATCCATCCACTTCTGGCAGGAGACTGAAGAATGAATGGTTAATACAGAAAAAGATATTAAGGTCCCAGTGCTAAAAATCTTTCCAAAATATTCCCAGCTGCATAGATTATCTTATTGTGAAGCCTCTTGGCCAACAGCATACGCACACTGGCTCAGAGCTTCCCAGGCTTTTCAGTGTCTTATTCTTATCTAGGAAGACTGTCAAAGATCTCCAGGAAACACACTAACATATAGAGCAGAAGCAATGACCGTAGAACTCCGACATACAGACAGGCAACAGAGAGAAAAATTAGGAAGACACACATATTCACTCAATGAGACAAGGGATGTTTCCATCTATTCAAAAGAAGACAGTAGTCCAGAAGAATGAACACACACAAGCACATTAAAAAGAGCTCTTGATGGCAGAAATGCAAAGTTTAGTTCTCACTCAAATGGCCCTCCTCACAGTGTCATCTCCCTGTCTTGCTCCCAGCCCTGCTCTGTGTTTGTTTATGTATTTTCTTCCCATGGTGAGGAAATGAGCTTCTGAGTACAGAGCACAAGCCTGTCCAGTACTTCCTGGGAAATAACTGCTAACATGGTTTAGCAGGTTAACTGTTCAGGAAAGAACTATTGCTGGTTACCAAGTTGAGGTGGAGAGGAGAGGAATTCAGTCTGGATATGAAAAAGGATGGTTCTGGAACTCGCAGAATGAAGATGACTAGTAGGGGGAGTGAAGCTGAGCACATGTGTGTCCTCTAATCTTGGAACAAGGAGGCTGACGTCTGCTTGAGAAGTGGATTCAGAGAGGAATACATGGACTCTGTCCTGGAGGGCTGCCAGTTTCCAGAATGGAATTTATGTGGGATGAAAAAAGGAATGAATGAGTTAGCTTTTTAAATAAGGCATTTGAGAGTTATTTAAGAGTGGAGAAATATTGACCAGAAAGGATGGAAAACTGATTTGAGAAAACAATTGCTTTTCGAGGCTCAGGGACTAGGGAGATGATTACAGTTTCAAAATGAATAAATAAATAAAGTTGCACGCTTGTTTTCTAATACCAGGTAGTGTCAGTGTCTCTGTTTTATCCTGCATCCTCTGCTCATCACTGGCAAAGATTTGGTCTCTGCATTTTGGCATTATTAATATTTCTGTGATGGTTGAAGAGTTGGCTTAATCTATTTTGACACTTATCATGAGTGTTTTATTTCCTAATGCTTTTATGGTATGCTTGTGCTGAGATCAAACTTTCCCTGTAACCCTAGTAATTAAAATGTACATACTTTAAAAAATGTTACAGAAGAAAAAATAGGACAATAGGTTGTCCTTGAGAAAACATGAAGCTGCCCAACTAACTGGTGGGTTGGAATTGGAGGGAGACTTGACCTAATAGAGTTCATGGATAAATCATTAATTGGTAATGGACTCCACACATGCGTGCGTGTGCACAAGCGCTCGTGTGTGCGCACGCGCACACACACACACACACGAGCACTTGGGTGGGCAGGGTAATTACTAGCTATTGGTTTTGAGAGAAAAGAAAAACTATACTGAAAAGAAATATCTTTACGTCACACTGCATGTATATCATTTATCAAGTGACATCAGTGTAAATGCTTAATACCAGTCTAAGCCAAAATCAGAGACAGGTTATGAACGCGAGCAGAAAGTATGTGCAGATGGTTGAGGATGGGCTAGGACATGGATGTAAAAGGCCTGGGTCTTCATTTTTATTCCTGCTTCATTATGAGAACTACATAATTAAATATAAACAAATAGCAATAAAACATCTAAATGTATACGTATGTTTTAATAAGCACTTTATTTAACCTAGTATATCCAAAATATTGCCATCACAATATGTAGTCAATATAAGAATTATCACTGAGATATTTTACATCATTTTGTTGTACTATTAAAAATCTGATGGGTTTAGATTTAAAGTTCATCTTAGTCCCGAGTAGGCACATGTCAAGTTCTCCCATCCAAGTACTAACCAGGCCCAACCCTGCTTAGCTTCCGAGATCAGATGAGATTGGGTGTGTTCAGGGTGGTATGGCCGTAGACTACATGTCAAGTTCTGTCCACAGTATTTACCTGGTTGAGTTGACAAAAGGAAATGAACTGAGAGTATTTAATATAACAAAATATGATTATTAAAACTGCCATATTATCTAGACTTTGTGAGGATCTCTTCCCAAAACAAGTTTTGTGTCAGTATAAGGTTTGTTTATATTTTCTCCCTAACTCTTTGTGAAAAATCAGAGCAACACATTCTCCAGCTTCTTTTGGAAAGAGATCCTCAGTCATCCCAAAATTTTATGGAAGCATATGTTCATAAACTAGGCGTGCTATCTGAGAGAAAAAAGTAGAAAACTTGTCCCATAGATTCCTCTGTCTAAGACTTTTTTTTAATACAGTTCCTCTGAGCCTGTTCTGTCTGAGGAATTTCTTTCCATGAGAAGACACCTCAAATTTAGTGTTGCATTCATGCGTGCAAGTTTTGGCAATTATGTGCTGGTTAAAGTGTACCTCCTGGCATATTTTGATGTTTTGTTCCCAAGAGAATAAAAAAGCTAGGATCCTAATTGGGTGTAGTTTGCTACCTACATATTCAAGAATTGAACATATGTTTCCCATCCTAAGCAACTGCCAGAGCATTGCCATCAAGTTCATTTAGGATCCTGCCTCGTATTTCCAAATAAGAACTTGATTTATTAAATATCTCTTACCTACGTACCGTCTCTCTGTAATCAGGTCACATGAGGATGTTAGTAGAGATTTTCACAATGGCAAGTTTCATTGCTGTTTTCAAACACATTTTGAGGTAAATTTAGATTTGTGTGTTTGCCATTGCAAAACAAGAATTATGCCCACTTACATTTCTCCAAATTTCCAGGTCTAGTGAATAATCTTACCTGTGCATGAGGTGACAGTTGAAAGTAACTTCAACAAACTTCTAAACCGAATTCTAATTTCCTTCACACTGTGTTCAATTAAATGTCCAATTAATTTAAACAGATAGACTGTAAATAAAGCAATGCACCCGATTATCATCTAATTAGCACTGGCCAGCTTTATAATGTGCTCATTAGTGAGTCTTACGGTGTCCCAAGGTTCAGAATGAGTAATCAGGGCACTCGTGATTGGCATGTAGCCGCATGGATGCAACAACTCAACCCAATAAATCAGAGCTAGGACAAAATGTGCCACATAAAAAGAAAAAAGAACGCATAACCAGCTGGTGAATTGACAATTTCCTCCTTTCTATAACTCAGGTACTTCTCTTCTCAGACACAAAGAGATAAATTCATGAACAACAGAATAACTGGAAGTAGGAAAATCCTTATCCAAAGTGACACAGGACAAGTGCTTGCCATTATTATGAAGGAATACAGAAAAGAAAAAAATCTTTGTGCCATCTTATAGGTTGTATGAATTTCTAATATAGGAAGCATGGACTCAAAAGTAGAGATGATCAATATCTTCAAATTTCTTGAAAGTTGAAAGTTGAAATAATCACTTCAATAGATGATGAAGCATTTTGTAATTTAGAAAGTGACCTTCATATGTTTGTGTGTGTGTGTGTGTGTGTGTGTGTGTGTGTGTGTGTTGATTGGCTCGCTAGATACCTAGCCCTCTACATTTGCTTCTACTTTCTTCCGTTGTAGAGGTTGAAAAGTAAGGCATTTGCCTTCCCAGATTCTTTCTTAGCTAAAGACAGTCAGGTGATTGATTGGGCCTATGAAACATAGGTACAGTCCTGGGTAGAAAAACAGCCGTATCGTCTTCCCATCCTTTTCTTTCCTGGGTGCACAACAGCTGTGCTGTAATCCTTTGGACAAAGTGGGTTCCAGAATGGGAAGACAAACTGAACCTGTTCCTGGATACACCTTCACCAGTGCCCCAACCCTGGTTCCTAACCTCCAGCCACCTGGTTATAGGAGAAGCTTCTTACTTGTTTAAACCACTGATGGAGATTTCATAGTTGTTGCTAATCAGGGATGAACATAATTGTAACAGACATAGTAGAATTTTTATTAGTAAAAATATTGAAACAAAATATACAGAAAATTATGCAATGTCGAAGTATCGATGTGTGCTTAAATGCCCTTCAAATATGACTTTTATATCCAAAGATACTCCAAAAAATGTATTTAAAAATGAATTAATTAATTTTTTTCCTAATATGTCTGCTGTGGAAAGAAGACTGAAATCCTTGTTGCTAATTCTAATTGTTTTCTAGGAACACGCTACATCCTATCCTCTAAATAAAAAAAGCTGCTAATCTGCATTCTGGGTGTCTTGATTATGATGACCATGCTTTGAATCTTCCCACGTGATCAACTGGGCTGAGATTAGGAACAATCTGGATTCCACTGGCAGAATATAATCAGAGTAGAAAAGAAGTGGTTCAAAAAAGAGAATAAATTTTTAAAAGAATGGGATGGAGAAGATGGAGAATTAGGGAGCATCTTGATGCAGTTCTTCAAGCCCACTTGCAGGAGGTATCCCTGGAGCCCACCCGGAGGTGCAGCAGATAAAGCTGGGATCTACGGGAACCCTGCAGGGGCAATTCCTGAGTGCATCCATACATCTCAAGCACCCAAAGGCACGTGACAAAAGTGAGATGGAAATTAGAAAAGAATGCTCTTTCTGAGCCAGAGGAAATTTTATAAATTGATAACTACATTTCTATTTTTCATTTATCATTCCTAAAAATTCTCCATAACACTTACCTTGTTTTTAATAGAGATGTATCTCATTCAAGAAGCATATTTCAATAGCTTTAAAAATGGCAGCTTCATCTTACTGCCTTTGAGAGATCAATACTTAGTCCACAACAAACTTACTAAAAAAATGATTTCAAACTTGTCACTTCCTCACACAACATAGTTTCTTAAACACCTCCAGCCTCACTTCCCACAAAGCAAAGTTCCCTTCTTCTCACTTAGCCTATTATTATCTGTATCTGCTCAGTATGTTTTCCAGCAAGAATTTCCACTTTAGGATATTCAGAGGGAGGAAATGGAATTGGTAATTTAATTATAGAACTACTTTTGCACAATTGGTGAGCAGTAAGTCTATGAATATTCTCATGCTAATAATTCTGCCCTGTTACATCAGTGGAATTATTTCATCTCTTTTCATAGCTATAAAGTTTAAATTCTAGTTAGAATTTAATGTTGAAACATTGAAATATACAGATCAAAAATTGTAATAAAGTCATTCATTTCAAGGTGGACTGCAGTCCTTTTTACAATTTACAACCTTGATCATTGCATGTAACTAAAATTAAAACAATATATTTGCCATGGTCTGTCTTACACCTTTTTTGCTTATCTCCGTAGAAAGATGAACTAACAACACACAAACTCTTTCATGAAGACAGAGCTTCACAGAGAGAGCAAACCAAGGAGTAGATGCACAGGAAGAGCCAGAGTGAAATAAATCTGGTTGACTGAGACCCTTGTGGCTGCTGAAAATCACAGCTGAAACGAGTTTTTGATTCTTAGCCTTTACTAACCCTCTCAGTTGAGAATGTAATATATTGTGGCCACCAATGTTAAAGGGCCTTCAAGAGTCAGAGAGCAGACCTAGAGTAGGAGGTAGCACTGATGACTGCTGCCCAAGGTGCTGGCCCCTAGCATCCACGCGGGCATTCATGCATCTATGATCTTTGAGTGGGCTGACTTCTTCCCTCGCAACCCCACCTCCCAGCATCCTGACTCTCTGGACTTCACGTTGGGCTGTGATGGAGCCTCCTGATGAGCCAGCTCTACTGAAAGGATGAGAGATACAGTAATGTTTCAAAACTCAGCAGGGAGCATTTCTTTCCTCTTTGCTAAGTTGATGTAGTCTTCATATAGAAAGATAGTAAGGGCTTCACCACTTCTTTCACTTAAAAAAAAAAATTGTAAGAAGGCAGAGTTTGGAATACTTACAGAGAAGAAGAGATCTGAAGAGTCTGATGTTTTCGACCCAGAGCTGCAAAACTGGGGAGGAAGTGTCATGTCTATGAAAGGCAAAGATGGGCGGATGTGATGCCCACCTGTAGGA